GCCGCGTTCCCAAAGTTCTCGTACACTTCCAAGTATGATACTCCCTGTCTTTGGAAACGCTCTGCTAACCCTCTTTCTTATTATTCGGCTAGATAAATTGTCTTAAAATTTCACTCAGTCAAAATCATTTTTCTCGTTCTCTTGTTGTTAGTCGGCACAGTTCCTGAGGTATGATACAAGGGAGGGTACGAGAACTTTACGAATGCGGCTGTACAGTACTGGTGTTTTCCTGTCCCACAATAGTTTCATTGTTTCCAAGGTGTATTTTGCGGCGCATTTCTCGGATTTTGTCCCCCCCCTTTTTTTACAGTTATTATAGGTGGAGAGGGGTTCTAACCTTCACTTAGCGCTAGCACATTGATAATAGTTTGCAACAAATTCATTTTGAGCTAACCTCTATCAAACTGCAATAGATGGTCATCGAAACTACAACCAATCCCTCGGTGCTATTCTGTCACACTTTGGCCCCTGCCCTATCATTGTTGGGATATAAAGAATCCCTTTCCTTTCCCACAATCTACCTCCTAAATACCGGTATGTTTGATTTACGCTTTCGTTGGGAGGGGGGGAGGGTTGGCACAGCCATCGTGCACATCTCTGCCTCAGCGGGCACAGATATTAGTCTACTCCCATCACCAAGCGAATGAGCTTTCACAAAACACCTTAGAAACTATTTTACGAGGTTCTAGTTTCCTCCTCCTCTTGCCCCAGAAAGCCGTATCCCCCTCACAAGCCAAAAGGATATCTGCGGCATAGCTCATGATCATACGCCTGCATGCCTGCCAAATAGTGAAACTCCTACAGGCACTTCCGATACCAGGCTTATTCTCCAACAGCCCGTTTGACATCCTATACGGTAGACCCCCCCCAGCCCTATATTCAAAAATAGGAGTTGACACCGACCCAAAACCTTGTTGCGTTACGGGTACTTGGGGTCTCGTGTTGCGCCGGCCGTGGTATCCATGATATTAATTGCACTTTAGGCCAAGGCATACTCAAAGTAGAGGTATGCCTGTTGTATTTTGAAAATGTGAGATTTCGCATCTGTACTGCCGGAACTACTCTCGTGGCTTCGGGGGAAGTATTCTATAATTATAAGTTGGGGGCATCACGCCTCATCTCGCCTTGATATGGCCCCCGAGCCCAGTTTTGACTTATGAAATCAATATAAATCATGAGTTGGTGATTAGGTGTGCATAAAGTATGTGTCTTGATGCAAGCCGCGACACAAAGGAATGAAGCGCAGCGGGAAGGCGTTCAATAGCCAGTTGAACCCATCTTCGCTACGAGGTAAGCGAAACACTACCGGTAGTAATGGTAGGAAATTTGCGCCCACAGCGTGCCTTTTGTTTTCAACCATCATACAGCTATGCTCGGACAGCTGAGCCCGAAGATGAACACTCCACAGCCTGTTTGTTGCCACGAGTGATCTTTCGTGCTGAACCTCGGAAGTGGATACCATGTTCAGTATGATAAGCTAGCTTAATTACTGTGCGAAACTACAAATTTTCCGCAAGTCAAGGGGCTCATCCACCCCACTTCTTGCGGATGTTTTGTCGGAATTGCGCAACTGGTTCCCCAACCCATGGTACCCCAAGCCCGTTACCGGGTAAAGGCACTCCAGGGTTGATCACCTTGACCCATCGCGAGGCGAAACTCGAGGTTCAATTCAGTCGCTCAGTTCCCACTCCCGCTCTCGTGCATGTGCGGTGCGGTGCGGTGCCCCGGGGCGAAGTCTGTCATCTGGTAACGTGATGGCGAGATGAAGGCGATAAAACAAAACCGATAAGGCGATACAGCAAATTTTCTGCCTATGATACCACCCAAACATTTGATAGCCCCCAAAGATCTTAAGAACTTTGTTTGGGGATTGTTGCAAGGGGTGCACAGGCACTACAAGGGGGCTGCGCGCGAACTCAACCACTCTAAACCGCGGTTTTTGCGTCGGGGCTGAGCAGAAGAACCAACCACGTGAGGTCGACTCGGCAAAGAAAAAATTCACATTGTGGGTGAAACAGTGTTCTCAAGGTGCGAAAGGCGCTCTTAGGTTTTCTTGTGGTCTGCGAAACGGTCGTCGGCGATCTCATAATTTTGGTGGCGGTGTAGATTGGTTAGTTGGACGTTAGTGATGAGACGGGCAAGGGTACGGGTGGCCAAGGAAGTATTAGTACACAGCATTGGAATCGATAAAGCAGCGCGACATGACGTATCTAAAAAGCAGAGACCACGCTGCTTTACTGAAGTTGGTCTGTGCTTTCGGGTCTCCCCACCCTTGTCCGTCCCATCACTGACATCCGTACCCAAGTACTGGACTCGAGTACCATATTTTACTCGTTGAATCCACCAGCTCGGGTCGACCTCGGATCCCCCCGACCAGAAACAAAACACCTCCGGAGCATAGCCTGGGGTGATGCTGAGCTTGCTAGATCTCACCAACTGGTGTTCGTTACCGGTATTTCGTTTTATGCTCCGCTAGACCTATTGTGGTTTAGACAGTAATTCTTGTTGAGAGCAAATACGGTACCCTATCGGTACTCGTACGGTACTCGAGTACTGTACGAGTAAAGGGATAAGGTTGCGCCACATAAGGCTTGCACTTGTATGATATGGGCAGTCTACCCGAGATGCTTCCCTCTTTCAGGCTCTTGCCACAGCTCGCAGTTGGTCGATCACGGCACGGCCAGGCTATCGACGGCCGCGGCAGTATCAAGCCATAAGTCGCTCCACCATTGCCTCGATGCTTGGACGGCTTAGAGCTACATTTTCAAGCCAATATTGCTCAGTGAGAGACTTTCACTTGCTGGAGCCACCTAGCCGAGTTAGAGAGTATGAGACATTGGATTGGAGCTTGAGACAACCCAGCCAATGAGAGCGCGAGAAGACTCAAAGATCGCCTCCCTTTGAGCAAACACAGAGAGGTGGCTACCGGTAGCTAGACACTCATCAGCGCTGATCCGACTTTTCACGAAGAGAGATACGGGCACAATACCTAGACTAGCACCACTGCCACAAAGCGCTGGAAATGCCAGCGAAAAGGTATTCTGCTCGAGGACTAATTTAGCTATTAACCAACACATAACTTTACACGTGGGACCCAAGGCCCTACCTATTAGGCCTCTGACTTACTATTTACCGCTAAGGCCGATTGGTAGCCTAATGTGACGACTTGGCCACTAAGATGTAATGAGCGAAGTGCTGTGGTATGTATACATGCAAAATCTGATGTGATTTCAGCAGTGCTCCTCACCAAATTGGGAAAAGCTTTTTCCCATATTATGATACTTGTATGAGCAGCTATGGTGCCAGAAGCCGTGGATGGGAAGTGCGTAGCATCTCCACACTTGGATCCCTTTAATTGGAAGGAAGAAGTCATCTAGACCACTCCGAAGTCTAGAACCACAATGGATTCAATATTTGCATTCAAAGCCACTCTACTACTAGGGGGGTTACACGCCTCCCATATATCACCTCTGGCGCCGAGGGTGAGAGTACTGGATAATCATATAGTATGAGTACCACGACCTAAGGTATTATGGAAAAACCATTGTCGAATGCCTGGAAATTTCCTTGTTAACATTGAATAAATGGACATGCTCTTAGGCTAGCACTTTGGGGCTTCTAATGTTGTCAATATTCAACAGAGGCACACCAAAACTTGCCCTTGCTACATCCATTAGACGGCCTAAAATGATCCTGCACTTCTGCGGGGTTTCCCCGGACTGGGCTCTTAAGCTTGATGGCATTAAACTACCGATGTTATAACTTCGACGGGATATTCCTCCGGCCAACTCTTAAGACATTTGGCAAGAGGCTATTTCGGAGGGAGATCGCGGGTAAATAACTTTACGATGGGTGTGTTGTTCGGAGTAGTGTGCCTAGTATCTCTCCTTGCCAGGACACCAGAAAGATTTACATGCGCTTCATGTGGAGGTAATAAGGGGTGGTTTCAAGCCTTGCTAGTGGCCCTGCACCGGCAGCAGCTTAAGTATCATGCTGGTAGTGCTATTAAGGAAAGAGATTTAATAGGGTACCGAGGAGAGGTCTTGGGTTATCAGATGAACCTGGGAGTGGAAGTGGATAATAGCACTCCAATGTGGTATATGCCGGCACATGATGGCTTATCAAAGTTCTCAACTAGGAATGGGGGATACGATAGAGGCAGAATATGATAACTAGTCTTTTATTGATAGAAGAGAGCCTTGAGGGCTAAATTTCTATTCTAGTACCGGTAATTTACACGAACTCTAGTGCTGCTGGGTCTTAGAGGTAAAACTATATTAGAAACTTCAGCGGGGGCAAGGATGGTGTCTAGTTGCTCGAATGGAGTATTGCTCTCCAATGATAACCAAACAATGGATAATACAATTAAATTTTATCAGATATTCTGGGAATGGTTTGGGGTTGGCCCCCAGATGTGGAGATTCCAAGTTCGTATCCACATATAATACGACCTAGAGCGGGGTGGATAGCGCACCATACTCTCTTCCTAGTTTGCGCCGCTCGTTTAAGAAACTTCGAAAGGCTCAACCGGTTCAAATGCCATGGCACCTTCTTTGCCTGATATCAACAATTCTTGAATAAGCCTCGCGGCTCACCTTGGGGTCTTAAGATTCCTTTGTGACATACTCGAGCAGTAGAATGCTTAGTGCATGCCCCCTTTGTTCAGGAGGAGTGTGGTGGGTGGGGGTGCCGTATCCTTTGTGGAACATCTCCACACCGTACCGGTATTATGAACCAGGATGTTATGAATATGAGGCAATACACCCACTGCTCGAGTATCATACCGTATTAGTCTCATAGGGCACATTTTGGCAACGGGGGCTAGATTTTATTTTCCTCCAAAAACCCATTCCCCAGATCTTACCCGGCAGTGTTTTCCGGGTGGAAGGAGTGCTTGGGTGGGGGCTGTGGGCACGCCTCCTTAGCGGTTTGCCTTTTTGTCATATCCAAGTACCGCACATACTAGTATGTACAGTACCGTACATACTCGTTGCCACGCCGGGGAGATATAAATCCCGGCGCCCCTAACTCGACATCGCAACTATACCAACAACCATTAACATCATATCCGCTCACATGGACTACTTGAAAAAAAAGTTGAATCGTCGCAACCAACAAGGACAACCACCCGCTTTCAGGAGCTTCGTGGATGATGGGAAGTTTGACCCATTCGGAGACTTTAGTGTACAGTTCCCATCTGCTGGATTATCTGCTCCCACACGAAAACCCCCACCATCAAACGATTCGAGCATCGCTCCACCACCGACCTACGATGAATCCGCACTAACAGCCCCAGAACCTGCCGTCAGGCGTGGGACCTTCTCCGATACCTCACCAACCGCCCAACAATACGCGGGGCTCAAGAAATTCGACACGGTCTTCCTCATAGACGACAGCGGTTCTATGGTTGGTTCAAATTGGCGGCAAACCTCGTCGGCGTTAGCCGCTATTGTGCCGATCTGTACGGCACAAGACTCAGACGGTGTGGACATCCACTTCCTAAATCACGACAGGTCGCACACGAATGTGCGTAGCGCAGATCAATTGCAGCGCATCTTCGCCTCCGTAACCCCGCGGGGGATCACACCTACCGGGCGGAGGCTCGGCTTCATACTGGACGAATACTTGATGCGATACAAAAGGAATAGAAATATCAAGCCACTCAACGTCATCGTTATCACCGACGGAGAACCTACGGATCCGGACAGGCTTGAGAAGAACATTGTCAAGTGCGCGAGGGAACTAGACAATGTGGGCGCAAAGGACCGGCAGGTCGGCGTTCAGTTTTTTCAGGTGGGGAACGACGAAGCGGCCACCGAGAGTTTGGATGAGCTTGACAATGCACTTGTGGAGGAGCACAGCGTTCGCGATATGGTTGATACCGTTAGCTGGAAAAAGATGAATGAGGGGAATGGGCTTACGGCTGATGGCATCCTGAAAGTTGTCATGGGTGCTGTTGATAAGCGCCTGGATAGAAAGCGGCGCTAGTTGACTCATTGTTTTGTTTTTTTGCTTTTTATTTTTGCCCAATGTCTTTTATTGATTCTACCACATTGGCTGGCGACACTGGGGATGGAGCGGAATCGGGCGAAGTGTGGTCTGATACGTGGGCCAAGTTCTTTTAGGGGGCATATACCTCAGCAGAGACAGTGCCCCGTGGCAGGCTGTGAGAACCTGACCCTAGGAAGCGACTTCTTCTGGATCTAGTTCGCCTTTTGGGCCACATCCTCTGCGCCATTTCCGGTATCTAGGTCCATCGCTTTCTTATTTTATTTCTTTCTTTTATCACTATTTCTTTTGGTGGTGCTCCTAGGGATATCAGGATAATAAGCTCAGCGACCGTGGTACGCTCGCCAAAGTACGAGAACCACTGGCGCAAGGGCTGGGACTTTGTTTAGCTTCTTCTCGTTAAATTTCCTAACCTTACTTAACTGGTGGACGACGTTGAAACCGAAACTGCTCAATTTCGTTCCTGGTTATCTTCCTGTAGTATTTCCGATCGATCAATCTATGGTGGGAGAGTCCACAGCTATGGGTGCAAACAGATTTTCTCAAGGGGCATAGCTCATGGGCGGCTTTAAACCCTGCACATCCTACTGGTGTTTTAAGATTCTGACCCCTAAAAAGCCCGGCCCACCCATTAAAAACGTGGTAGAATTTCCACGATCATCAATGGCATAAGATAGGGCTATCAATCGCGCTGGGTGACAAAGCAGCACGAGGGAGCATAGGCGGTAACTGCAAGCATTACCATAAGCGAGCCTTGGCTAGCAGACTGCCGATACAGTACGAAAAACGCTTTGTGCGTAGCCCGGCTTGGAGTATCTGGGAGCAGCGGGCAAACGGAGGGGCAATGATCTTTCCACTCCTTCCCCTACTCTTTGCCCTTGCTTGGATCTGAATGGTATGCAATAATAGGAGTTCTTTTTAAAAATGCTTTGGCACTACGAGCAGACTAGTACCCAAAACAGTAGACAATATTCAAACAATGTGTACTCGAGTATAGTACCGGTGCTTCTGCCTCGGCCATACCGGCGTGAACGCCGCCGCCGAACGTTCCGCCCTTTCCTACTCTTCGCCTTCCCGCTATAACTGCCAATGCCAAAGCAGCTTAGGGGGTAGCACTTTAGGCCAAGAAAGGTACCGGTACATCATTTTGGCTTTGGTGTTCAACACAAAAAAAAGGAGAAAGAAAAATAAAAATAAAAAATCACACTATCAGTTCGTGGGATACTACCGGTATACCGGTATTCTTCTAATGGGCAACTCGTGTATTGTACTGGTACTATTTCGTATATTGTGCCACTGGCATACTCGAGTACCCCATGGATCGATTATTCAGTTAACTAATTGGGTAGTTCCACCGCGCACCAACCCGAAAACGGGGACCCAACCCCTTTGCTTGCCCCTGAGGGGCAGGTACACAGGCTGCTGCACCACGTCGGTTGTTCGGCATGGCGGAAAAACTTAGCACTGGCGAGATGAGTTGCTGTTCTGTATATGTTTGTGGGTATATTTGATGAACATGCTTGTCGGTATGAATGCCGGGGGGAAAGAAAGTACCTGAGGAGGGATTGGTGAGGTATAAGTAGACTTGAAGGCCTCGGGCTATTGAGAAGACACCACCGCACGGTTCGTGATGTTTTCAAGGCTCTCTATCATTTCATTGGGTTTGGCGGACGCATTATGCGGTGCAATCCCGTTTGTGGAGGAGGGATATAACGAACATGTTTATCCTGGATGGGATCAATTGAAGTATCTTTTTGTCTTGTACGTTGGTTCTATTATATCATCACTACCTGATGGATTTGTGGCTGATTTTCTCGGGGATGAAGTGGTGATTCCTACACTACTACGGGCTTCAACTTAACCAATGGGTCGCCGCTGCCAAGTTCTGGAAACCCGATGGGAAACCCGGCGTGGCCGGGGTCGACTTCTGCGAAGCATGCGATCCTTTTCCTACTTGGCTTGTAGTGAGTCTAACAAAGAGAAAATAGTGGCCCAAATTGGGTAGGATACTTGACAACCACATTCAACAGATCCGAATTACTAACCTACAATCTTGCCTACGGTTCCCTCCCCACCACCTAACCCACTGGACAGGAAAGCTAACAATCTCTAGGAGGCGCGACCATAAACTCCACCCTTGTAAAGCCTTACATCCCAACCGTCCTCTCCTTCGCCGACCAAGTCCAAGACCTCTTCCTCCCGAACCTCTCCCCCAAATCCCCCACCTCAATCACCCCCGCCTGGGAGTCCGAGGACTCCCTCTTCCTGATCTGGCTCGGGGTGAATGACATCGAGAACAGCTACCGGAATGTCGACCCCGGCGATCTCCACCCGAGCCTAATGAATGAGTACTTCCGCATTCTGGAGGAACTATACTGTGTCGGCGCTAGGAACTTTCTGCTCCTGAATGTGCCGCCGATTGATCGTAGTCCGCTTACCACCGGACAAGGGGAGCAGGCAGTGTCTAGGGAGCAGGAGGCGTTGGAGAGTTATAACAGCCTGCTGGAGGATATGTTACATGGGTTTAAGAGGAGTCATAGGGATGTTTACGGGAAGATATTCGATGCTGCTAGGGTATTTACCGAGATTCTGGAGAGGCCGGAGCGGTATGATATCAAGAACACGACGGCATTCTGTGAGAAGTATAGAGTGTATGAATCCTCCTCCCCTTTTGCTTCTTCTTTTTGGCTCCTGAATCGTCCTAACTGGCGCAGCGGAACACCGGACTGGGACACCTACTACCCCGAATGCGGTGTCAGGGTCAGTGAATACTTCTGGTTGAACAGCTTGCATCCCACGTGGCCGGTGCACAAAGTTCTCGCGGAGGAGATTGTGAAGAGCTTGTGATCTGCGCGACGAATGAGGAGTGTTTCGTAGTTTGTAGAACCCTATTTTAATGCATTCCAGGGTGGCAAGATGGTGTAACTTATATTTATTTACAATTACCGTATCGAGCGATGCATTGTGTGTGGGATTTCAGTTCGTTTGAAAGGCTCCACTACGGCTTGGGCCCCGGCTGGGTACGGTATGGGCGATATGAGAGTGAGTGAGGATGCTATCGATTGATCCGCTGAGCCTATTAAATTGTCATTATTACTGGTAATGGGTTAAGTTCTATACTACCGTATTAGTACAGTACATCGCATAGGGTAGTAGAGGAATGAGATGCCATGACCATGATGGGCTCAACAGTCGTTAGAGTATTTTGCACTTGAGGCGATTCGGGGGTTAAATCTCGCCTTTGGATGTTGAAATCCGAGGCATTTTACCCCCTGGATGCTTGAGATGAGGGATATGCTTTTTCATCAGTATTAGTCCATCCAAATCATTATAATCACAATTTATCGTATGACATTGTGCATTACGGCATAACATGACACATAAAAGCTATATTCATCGGCGAACCGCGGTGTTTACTTAAAAACTCCACTCACAGCTGAATTTTCCCATAATATCGTATACCGGTATGCCAAAGGTACATGCGAAGGAACCCCCCCACACAACTCCCAATATCGGAAGGAGAAAGAAAAAAAATCACCCCCCCCCCCGTGCACCCACAACACCAACAACGATCTAATCTTTGTTTGTAATCTGCACTTTGATAGCTCCACTCTTTATATCTGCACTCGTCTTGAAGGCCTCTACCGCGTCCTCAATGGCAAACCTGTGTGTGACCAGCTTGCGGATGTTCGACAGGATTCCGCTGTCCAGGAGTCTGATTGCCCTGGGCCACGTGTTGCAGTACCGGTATTGGAACTTCAGATCGACCTCTCGGGTGCTCAGCCTCATGAACGGGAATTTCATCTGGTCCTTCCCGACGCCAACAACGAACACGGTTCCACCAGAGCGGACAGCGTGAATGCTTGCACCAATGGAGCTCTCGACACCTGTGCATTCTAGAACAACATCGGGCTCCATCCCCAATGCCTCCTTCATTCCCACCGCCAATTCTTCTTCGGATTTCCCGCGCTGCACAGGGTATATGCGTAGAACACCTGGCGAGTCTGCGACGAGTGTCTGCGCAAAGTTCAGGTGGCTCCGATCGATATCTGTGATGAGGATTGGCTCGGCGCCAGCTGCCTTTGCGCAAAGAAGGGTGATCAGGCCAATGGGTCCTGCGCCACAGATTACTGCCGAATCGCCCAGTCTGAGCTTTGAGCGATCGATTGCGGCGAGTGCGACGGACAGAGACTCCAGGAGAGCGCCATCCTCGCAAGACATGCTTGGGGGAAGCTTGCGACACCATCTTGCGAGATGTGTGACGTAGCGACGGAGGAGGCCGGAAACAGGTGGAGTTGACAGGAAGAGCACATGTTCGCGTACGTTGTAGACTATCGGCCAGTCAGATAGGGCTCGCAGGAATGGGGGTGGGAAAATTGAACGCCATTTACCTCTCCAGCAGACTCATGGCCAAGAATATGTTTGTCTTCAACTATCATGGGACCAACGCGTCCCGCATGCCAGAAGTAGACATCAGACCTGCTAGAGGGTCAGTTTTATGACGAAATAGTTGGTCTAAGGGGAGCCGCAAACCCGCAAATACCCGTGCTTCTAATCTGAACTATCACCCCTCCAGGTTGCAGGTTTCCGGGCTTCTGAACTTCTTCTGTTGATGGTGAAGCATCAGCGATGTAAAGGTTGTGTTGAGGATCTGTGAAGGCTCCAATGTTTGCTTCTAAGCTCCCAACAGATTTTTCAGTTAGTTTACTAGGAATTCCCTACTTAAGATATAGAAGACAAATTGGAGGATCCCCTCCACCAACCAGATGATATGATGCCACTAGTGAGAGTACTGGTGATAATATGACCACATTAAGATACTTCGGAAGAGAGCTAGGCGATGAGCACCTTTATACTTCGGTGTCTTGGTGATTTTGGTTTTGAATCCTCAACCCTCCACGGCAGAACCTTTCCCCATGCCGAGATCAAGTGGGGGGATGCTCAAGTCATATGCCGATACCGTGCCAGGAATTATGGTAATTGTTCTCCTGTAAATCTGCTGTAACTTAGTAAAACCATCCAGAAGCCTAGTCTACTCGGAAACTAGTGTTCTGGTCATCCCTCGCTGCCTCAGCGTTGCTATCGAGTACTGTCGACTAACTACAAAGAACCCCTCCGAGCCAAGTGCTGGGAAAGCGGGGCCGTTTCAGGCTAAACGGGAGCCTTTTTCCGAACCGGTTCCTTGTTCCTGTCCATGAAGAGGAGATGCACCTTTTGACCGCCAGGACAATACTGCTCTTGTTTTTTCCTGCGATGACTATTGCCGGAAATATTCTCTCTGTTCGGCTCTGTGTTTCTCTCATCCATATCCCCCAGTCTTCGTGCATCGCTGGTGTAATGCTGAATTCAAATGCAGACTTCATCCGCTGCCGGATGGGTCGTGGTCCTGCTCAAGTCTATCACGAAGGCCTCGGGGTCTTCCGGACGCGCCAGTTCTACCCTCACAAGCTATTATCCGTCACTTAGCTTCTTTAATTAGGGATCTCTGGTTTTCCTAGGTTCCAAATGTTCGAAGAAGTTGGAGTTGAGATGGAGTTACTGTCTGCAGTTACCGATATTTGATATCGCTAGGCTCACTACCGTACTTTTCCCTCCAATTAGTCTTATATTTAAAGGGGTGGTATATAGGTTAACTATAGTATGTCCCATCTTACGGTATGTTTTGTAGGTCTTCCAGTCTCTTGGGATTGATTTCTTTGCATTTGTTATCACGTTTTGACGTCCGCATCTGATGAGAATTTGAGAGGATTCTATCGGGCCAAGGACTAAGTTATACAGTATGAGTAGAGGATCTGATGGTATTGGGGTCCAGGAGGACCTGCTTTAAACCGATACACGAGAGGAGACTTCTTGCAACAATAAGAATGCAGTATCCTCAAATATCATACGTTCCGTATACTTACTTCTGGCAGCTTCCCCTTGAATTATCCTGAGATTTTCCTGAGATTTTGGATCCACCAAAAATTTGACTTTTAGAGTTGGTGTGAAGCTGTTTGAGATTTTTTCAGGCACCGGAGAAAGTGCCGGGGGGGTGGTAGCCAACGTTTCCTGGAACATCTCACTGCCGGCACAGCGGCCTCGGGCGTTACAAGAGCGCGCAAGTCATGACAGCATACTGCACACTGTATCGAGCAATACAGCATAGCGTCTAGTTTCTAATGCTGCGTTTGGTTAACAATGGACAGTTCATTCGCCGCTCCAGAAGCAACAGCTCAGTCACCATGAACGGCTGTTTCTCGAGCTCCTGTCCCATAATATGAAAGCAGTTCGCCAACCGTTTTACTGACCATTTGTTAGTCATCCTTGAGGTTGAAACTTCTCTCCACTAAGCCTTCCAAGTTCATTGAACATCAAGCTTGTTTTCAGTGGGAGTGATAATCAGATTCTGTTACACTATCATTGTCATACATATTTAATATCAAAGCCCGATCTCGGGTCCGATATTACACTTAGATCGTGAAACCCTTTTCATAATTAATCGACAACACTCGCTCCTTAGAATGTGTCGAAGACCCTGAGGAATATGTGGCGACGGGAAGAGCCAACAATAGCCTAACATATATGGTGTAAGATCTGTTCCTATAAAGAGTATAATCTCAACAAACCTGAACCTATGCTGGCCCTTTTATACCACTAAATCATTAGTTGCTTAACACGTTCTCTACGCTTCAATAACTCACGTCATTTCCTCCTTCAATTATGATGCTTCACGTCTCTACCCCTTCAGGAATTTTCCACAACCGAGTAATTTCTCATGTTCGCGCACTAACCTATTCCGGCCACTCCAGCCAAAGTTATTCACTCAGGAACCGCTACAACTAATTTACTCAACCCGGGGCATCGGAGGTATGTCTTGCGACCTGCTACTGCACCGTAACCTTGATGACAGGTTTCCGATACCCACCGCCCATCACGCTCCCCGCCCCAAATCGGCACCTAGCTTGACAAATAAGGAATCAGAACCTTCTTCCGTTAGCGACAGTCCACTGGTAAATTCAGTCGGCCTTCCCCCGATACCGGTAATACTCACAAGGCTGAGCGGGGCCAGGCAAAGCGAGTATGGCACAGAATATATTTTTCACGTACGATTAATGCTTCTCCCTCACTTGGTGGGTTACGCCATCAAAACTAAAGTTTTCTGGTTGTGAAGGCTCGCGAGCGTAACCGCAATAATCCTATCGCTCATATGTGTCCGCTCCATACTATTGCGTAGGGCAAAGATTGCTCGACAGGAGCGGGCCGCAGAGATACTCAGGCAAGCCGAAGTAGGGATACAGGCCGGGCAGTGGGCGCGAGTAACGCATGTTAATTCCATACTGAGGTGAGCACTTCTTCGACCGGTTGACTAGGAGGCAAATTCAATTGACAGCTGTGTGTACTGTATTTTAGGCCTGCGCCAGTCTATCTGCACAATACGAGGTCCCCCCCACCAGCTCATGTGCATCCGAATACCAATGAAGAGGTCGCTATCGAGCCTTTGCCGGTTTACGAAGCACCACCGCCAAAGTATGATAGTGTCGTCAAAGAGGCACAGCCACCAGTGGAGATGAGGGAACTCGAGCGTGGTGAGCCTTCTGGAAGAGCGGGCCCACCCGAATACAACCAAGAGAGGGGGTGAGGCGAAGGAGTTGCCGTTAGAGCCGCCACAGATGGAAGTCACATGACCGCTCGAGAGGGCGAACCTAGGAGAGGGATATTTTCAATGACAAGGCCATTCTACGAGTATGGGCTATTGGGTAGATTGCGGGGGTAGTCGGTGGGTTGGAAACGCTTCATTTGATTTAAGCTTACGTCTCGGGATAAGAGGGCGCAAGCCCTCGGCTTCTTATCTTCGACCGAGTCCCAGTATCGTACGATATATTTCTTCATCACACCGGTAGTAGCCCTATAAAGCAAGGGCGCTTTTAATGATGGGTGCCGGGCTCAGAGTTCTTGCTCTTCCTGCTCTTCCTCGAACCTTGCATCAGGCTCTACTCCCGAGTTTGAGCTATCTTTCGTTCCTACATGCCTACGGGGTGTCCGGGTTTGCTATTTTTGCTCTTGTCTTGCTGGGAAACCTTGATGTTCTGCGATGGGCGGTTTTTCTGGACATACGGCTATTTCCTCCAATTTTTCCTGCTTATGCGAGTCTTTTGAAGTGGAGCTCGGATTTCGGGGTGTCGTTTTACATCCTTACTCTTTTTTCTTGAAAGTTTGAGCTCCGAGTGATGCCTAAGTATTAAAAAAATGGGCGTAATTTAACCTTCAATGATGGTAGCTTAATCTCAAAAGAGAGAACACTTGACACTACAGACCACAACATGATAAAATCTCAACCACAGCTGTGCATCCTGTCAATTTGCCTCATGAGGTTCCCTTGACCGCTCGCGCTATATCTCTTTCATATAAACCCAAAATCTGAGCAAGAGCCAGGCTTCACCCATTAGCAACCCTGCCTGTACGCAGTTACAACTTCGACCCACAGTATCCCTATAAAAGACACGTATTCTGGGGTCAAAAATTGAAACCTTTCGGACCAGAGAGCTGACTTTTTTTACTATTTGTCTGTGAAGAAGTGGTGTGCCTCCAGACTTGAGCCGGTGAGATCGAGAATCGTATTCCCCCGCCGTCGGTGAAAACACCACCGAATCCACCGGAATGTTTGCCACACGATACAAGCCCCAAGGAGAGCAGCAAAAGCTTTCTTTGGTCCGAGCTAATGAGGATTGCTTTATATGCTCTTCTTGTCCGAGTCCTGCGTAAGTCTTTCCCTCTTTCTCTCTGTTTCCATCTGTTCCAATACGTCGCTGAGATTGATATCTTGGCTTTAACGTTTGGCTGGTCTAAATTATTCCGTTCTCTTTACCCAGTTACAAACTAACTGTCCATGTAGAGGACAGGTTTCCTCTATATCCCTCATCTTTCTTTCCTCCCATTTGAGATTTGATACCAGACCGGCCCGCCCATAGCTTGAGGTCGATCTAAACCACATCTCTACTTGTCTCCTTACTATTCGCTTCTCAAAAAACTGACCCATCATGGCCAACTCCAAATCGGCCAGGACGCTTTCCAAACCGCCGCCTCCTCCAGCAATACCCCTTCCACCAATCCCGACTCAAATGTCTGTTCCTGAAATTCCTCCAGTTCCCCAGAATCCTCCATGCCCCCCGAAGGGTCAGCAAACACAACAGCAACCTCCCCCCTCACCTCTACAAACACCCAAACGATCATTGTCGCTCATAACAGAGATCCCAAAACCCGATCCAATGTGTTTGGGAGGCCCTATAAACACTCCAGATGCTGTCCGAGCACCTCTTCTTTCCCGAACCTCGCGATCGATCAGGAGAGCTTTCTCCGCTCACCGTGCACCGACACCCACCGCCACGAGACGCCTGGTCACCACTGGGCAGATCGGCACACCAGTACTTCATAAAGGAAAGGAGACGATGCAAGCACTTGCAAAGATGGGGGTCACTTTGGATGCAACTGGAGAAGGCACTATTAAAGCCAAAGTACCGCGTGGATCGTCACGCCCGAAAAAGCCACACGAAAGACCGCACCGAAGGCCCGTCTCTAACAGAGGTAAAAGCAAAGGAGGGAGTGGAAATGGTGAAGGGGAACTAGAAAAGAAGAGGGATAAACGGCGAGGGTTTGTATTCGAGCCGGCACTCGAGGATGGAACGACGGTTGAGCCATTGGAAACGGTCATCGCGCCGTTAAGGGTGCTGGATAATGTTCTAGAAGAGGAGGGAGATGGTGAGAGTGGGCATGTGGTATGCGCAATGGGAGCTAGCGACGGAGAGGTGAGCCCTGAAAGCAGTTGTGAAGACAGTTCGGGGATATTTGATGATCCCATCGATAAGATGAGATGGAGCTTTTTAACGCCACATAAGCCGCTAGAGAATGTTCACGGAGCTCTAGGAGGCACTAGACAAATGATGGGAGGGATAGCTTATCCCCTTGCAGATATTAATCGGGACAGCGGCAATCTCAAACAAGAAACGCCCAAGCAAGGCAAACCCACACCTGCCCCTAAAGCCAATCTTGCCGGTCCGGTCATTGGCAAGAGGGCTCCCGAGTTCACGAACCGGTCGCCACCACCGACCCGCCCCTCATCAAGGTCTTTCCCTTCTATATCCAATGAAGATGAGGAGATGCAAACGCGACGGAGACTAGTAGAGGAGACGGTCAAGGGATTTGAGAGGAAGATTAGCACGTCTTCAAATCCTTCTCCACCAGTTCCTAGGCCACCACTGCTCTCAGAGGAGAAAAATAAATCCTCCAAGTCGCCAAAACGTGGCCCGACCAAGGAGACAAAAAGACGTATTCCTCCCCCTCTCGTTTTCAGGAAGACTGGTCCGTCAAGGCCACCCGGATTACCCCCTATCGTTATTGAGCAGGGGAACGCGGATGTAGATCTCCCGCCCCCGCCGACGGATTTATATGCCGACAAAGAAGCCACCGCTCCCAGGATCCGGAGGGGGCAGCCTAAGCCCCGGAATTCACCAATAAAAGCATCAGAAGCCCTCGAGGCCCCCAAAGGTTCCTCTGGTCCGCCTCCGGTGCCGATGAGGCCGCAGCCTCTCTCTCCGCTTAGTGTTTCAGTTTCTCCGTTGCAGCCACGAACCGCCCAAAACGACGATATTCCCGACCGCATCAAAGACCCCCTGACTGGTATTCATTACATTCCTCCGGCCGCACCGTCTCCTCCCATGTCACCGCCGGCAGGGCGAAGCTGGCAAGAAGTTGAGGGGGGGTGCGTCGAGGAAGCGGCCTTGAAGAAAATTCTTTCGCTAGAAGCATCACGGGAAGACTTTTCTCAATATCTTGCAACAAGGTCCAATGGGAATAGCGGTAAGCTCTTGGAACTATACACGGCGGCGAAGGCGCACGAAGAGGCATTGAATCTTGTCATGAAATTATCAGAGGAGATCCAAGTTATTGCCACGCAGATTCCGTTCTTCGCGTTAGGCAAGTCGAATTATCCAAAGAATATCACTATGGCGCAAAAAGAAGTACTCAAGAGGATGGTGGAAGAGTTTCCTACTTATCTGATGGCCAATTCTGCTAGGCCGATTGAGAATCAGAGGGAACTACATGGGGAGGTAGGAATGGAGAAACAGAAGGGGATTGGGCATGAGATTGAGAGGGAATTAGAGAGGGAAGGACCAAAGAGAGGCGAGCGGAGACGCAGGGGACTTCGGAGGGAAATAGAAAGAGAGCAAGAGAGGGTTAAAATGGAAGAGCTCGAGTGGGAAACGACGAGGAAGCTGGAAACTGCGGAAGAGAAAAAGGCGTTCAAAGACCGTAAAGACCGAGACCTCAAACTTCAAAAGCCCAAAGAAAAGGCTCACAATCCCAAGAACACCTCTTCAAAAACCACCCAATCACAAATCCCACCGGGCCTAGAAGGAGAGTCCTTCGGTGGGATGTCGTATCCAGATTGCATCCAAAAGCTTCTAATCACCAAAGACAGTGGTCCCCCCTCCCCCACCCACCGTAAGAAAAAGTCCCTCCCGGACTCCCTCGGTGCAACAATATCCACAGCGCAAACAACAACCACAAAGCCCCACCAGAAACCCCCTACCCCGGCCCGCCGTCGCCCCTCTACCGCCCGCGCAGCCCCCGGCCCAGAAAGGAGAGTGCACATGACCAACTCTATCCAAAGGAAATCACACTTCCCTCAACAATCCCATTCCTCCCGCTACTCTCTTCACCTAAGCATCGAACGCGTCCCGTCCTTCTCCTCGTCGGCGTCAGAACCCGAACCGGAACTTGTCAACGACTACTTCTCGAAGGTTTCCATTTCTGATGGCACAGGTAGCTACTATGGGGAGGGAGGTGCGCCCCGCCCTACGTACTCTAGTGATGGTGGGAGCTTTGCTATTACAAGTGATGAGATAATCAGGCTCAGTAAGGTTCTTGAAGGAGATGACTACTTGAAGATTGTTGGCGGGGAGGAATACGGCGGTATTGTGGAGAATTTGCTCGAACTTGGGGATGATGAGATAGACCAGAGAAGGGATACTACTATTGGGTTATATGATCTTTATGATCGTTAGTCGGGATCAGATAGCCGGTTGATGTTTTCGGTTCTTTTCCTCACATTTTGCAGGGGTTATTACCCAGACTATTCATCCCTTGATATTTATTTCATTCTCCCTTTTTCATCCTTGAATCGTTCCTGTTTTCTTGTTTTTCTGGGTTTCTCTGGCACGGGGCATGAATCACGGTGAATCACTCGTATATTGGTCATGAGTAGCGCTTTCTCTTCCTTATTTCCTCACTTCCTCACTTCCTTATCTCTTTTATATCGGATTCTCTATTCTCCTCACGAATGCCATAAACGACCGATATCCTATTATGCAATTATTTGTGAGTTAGGAAACTTGATGCACGATGGAAAGGAAAAGAGCAAAAAGAAAAAGGAGTGTTGCCCAAATGTCGATTACAAAACCCGAGTCAGTTTCGCCAGCCAGCAATTTAGCCAGTTACGGTATCATATGATACCTATGATACAAGTAACCCCGCCCAGGATAATTAAATTATTGAACCACCCGCAATAAAAAAAAACAGCCCATACACGTATCATACCCCAAAAAACTATACTCCGCCCCCTCCCCCTACCCCATCCACGACGCCATCACCAACCACAACAATACGGTAACCCCTCCTCCTCATCTCCCCATAACCGAGTGACAACATATGAATCAGAGCAAGCAAAATCCCACAATAGCCATGATACTACACATGCAGGCACGAGACCCGCACCCGGGCTATTATCGTGGAACTTCCCGCGGTCGGGGGGAGGGGGTGGATAAGCGCTTTGCCGACATGTAGGACGCTGTACGAGTACAGTAAGTTACATGAAAACTGCATACCGTATGTAGGTTTGCAGGGCGCGTTATGCCGTTTTCTTTCTCCTTCTTTCTTTCTTTCTTTCTTTCTTTCTTTTTTTCGGATACCGACTTGGCGTTTTTTTTTTGCGCGTGGTGTTTCTTCTATCACATACTTGATTATATTATGGGTAGGGAGGAAGGAAGTGTGTGAATTCGAGTGATGGGTTGTGGTAGTGTTTGTTTGTTTGTTTGTTTGTTTTTATTTGTTCTTTTACTTTATTTTGCTGGTATGGATACTTACATTACCGGTACGGTATCATGCTTTGTGTGGAGTACCGGTGGGTGAGAAGAGTTTGTTTTCTTTTTCTTCTACTTGCTTTGAGGGGTTTTTCTAGTTGTCTGTTTATCTGGTCCAGCCTCGCGGCGTATCGTGAGACTGGCTGACCGATTGAGGGTTGTACACGTATTACACGCG